TACAAGCTCGATAAAACAAACATAAGGATGATGCGGGGGTAACGAAGTAGCCTAAGACTTACTGAAGACTCCACTGAGATCCATGTATTATAGAGGAACTCGGGACAGACATGGAGAAACCTAAGGTAGGTCTGGCAAGAGATCTGGGGACTTGATAGTGAATGGCTTGAGCTTGGATGTAACTCAAACTTCAGTGGTGGGTATGGTTATAGTGTGGTCTGAAGGGGATCTGGGGTAATCGGGCTGAGGTCCAAGAAATTTTTCCAGTGGCTCAAGAGAATGGCAAAAGGAAAAATCTGAAACACAGCAGTATCCCAACTCTTTACAACACATCTGGACTAGTCTATAAAAGGGTTGTGATGGAATAACCAAGGGAAACCAAGAACTAAGGGGTGTTCTGGTAAATGGATAAAAAAATTGTATCACTTCTCTGTGTGCCCCTATCTTTAACTGGAGAGATGTGGTGCAGTGACTAACCTGTCATGAACCAACAGGTCTGCCGTCTAGTGCTCTGATGGTGAGGGGTCTCTAGAGGACTAAAGTTATAATGCCCAGCTCACTGGCCATGTTGATATGCATAAAATTACCAGCAGCTCCAGAATCAATGAAGGCACAAAGATGGTGTAGTTGGTTGCCTTGGGTGATAGTGGCTCGAACTCCAGAAGTGATAGCCCAGGGGGAAGTATCTACTCTCGCCCGGATCCCCCTCTACCTGGATAAGAGCTGGCTTTCCCCTTCAGTTCTGGGCAAGTGGAGGGAAAGTGGCCTGGCTCTCCACAGTAGAGACAGCATCACTCCCTCATCCGCCGATCCAGTTCAGTCTGGGTCAATCTAGTTCTCCCCAATTGCATTGGTTCCTCAAGATCATGGAGTTGAAGGGGTTAAGTGATGGTGCTAGAAGGTACATAAGGATCAAATAACCTGGTCTCTCTACCTCATTCTTGTTGTCGTTACCTTAGACGATGGTCTCGAATGGCAACATCAATGAGAGACTCAAGATCTGGTGCAGGATCTCTAAAAGCCAGTTCATCCTTTAATTCAGAGGACAAGGCACGGTGAAAAGTTGCTTTCAATGCTCGCTGGTCCCATCCACTTTTTGAGGCCAGGGTTCCAAACTCAATAGAAAATTCTGCCACACTCCTCTCACCCTGAGAGAGTTAAAGTAGGCAATAACTCACATCTCCTTTACTGGCTGAATGGTGGTAGACCTTCTTCATCTCTGCAATGAAACTGGTGCTCTTGTTGGCAAGGGTAGATTACTAGTCCCATAACGATGTGGCCCAATTTAAAGCTTTGTTTTTTACCTTACTGTTCTCTTAGGGAAAGCTGCTGGGTTGCAATTGAAAGGCCAGCGTGCACTGGGTGACAAATCCTCGACACCTCTCTGTGTCTCCATCAAATCTCTCTGGTGCTGGTAATTTGGGCTCTGATGATATAAAAAAAGCTGCTGGTGGTGCAAGTACTGGTTGGGAAACTGGAGGTTAAGATTTAGTAGCTGGCGGATTTCAGTTAGAATCTGCTCATGCTTCTGGATAGTGGTTGCTTGATCAGACAGGGCAGACAGAATACGCTCGACACTGGAAGGTGGTGAAGCTTCTCCTGCTGGGTTCACTTCCATGGTTCAGTCTTGCTGTAACAGTTGGGTTAATTGAGGATTAAACCTGGGTCTCTTGGACTCAAAGCTGGGGCTTTTCCCAGCTGAGCTAACCCCTCAACAGATGAACCCAATGCAGAAGATTAATAAGATTAATTCATAATAATTAATTAATAATTGAATTCTTACAATGACCCCTTAACTGCTTTTGTTTCATTTTTTATGTCTTGCTGGTCTGAATGACAGTAAAAGATATATATTTATAAATTTTAATTTACAAAATGTTGACCAGACAAAATATAAAATATTTTGTTTTCATATTGTCTGCAATGAAATACAAGTCAAAGTAAATTTGGAAATCGCTACTTTCTTTTTTAAATTGTATTTTTCCATACAGTCCCAACTTTTTCTGACTTGGGATTGTATAAGGTTGTATTCTTAATTACTTTTCCAAATAATTATATCTTTATGTCTATAGTAATTAAGTGCTTATTAATAATTAATATTTCTATTTTAAAGTGCTATAAAAAGGAAGGTGCAGTGGATAAATTGGTAATGAATACAGTTCTAAATGCACCATTGTTGCACATTTAAAGTTTGGTTTCGAATGCATATTAGCAAATACACAAATATTTGGAGTCATATATATCGACCATTTCTTGTTTTTGAGCAGGCATGAGGGGCTGAATCTGATCCCTTCAGTCTCACCCCATGTGGGGTCTGTGCTGCTCAAGAATGTATGCAGGCGTGTATTGAATGTAATGGAAGGAAGGTAAAGAATGTCTTGGTGGATCACTTCCTCCATTAGTGCCCAATATGTTGTATTGGTTACCCTGATGGACTCCTCATTATTTTCCTATTTTGTTCACTTTCTAACTCAAACTAAATCATGATGTTCTCTAACTAGTTTGCAGTTTCATCTTTACATGATTCAGTCAATTAAATCAATCGGCACCTGACATGGTTTCAGTGCATGCTAAGTTAAATTAGTTTTTTTGTATTTTGGTGCATTAAGAATTTTTAAATTGGTGTTCTGTAGTTTTGAGCTCATGTACTATATGTATGATTGATAGTATCTTGAGGGAGCTCTTTTTCCATTCTGCCCCGGTAGACAGCATGACTATTTCTGTCTGACATATACAAATGACTGTAACTCACCACCACACACACTTATATTGATGCACTTCACATTCCTGCATCCAAAAATCATTTGCACAAGTACATGCATACAATCATGCTGAACTAATAGGCTGAACTTATCTGAGCTTAGTGTGGAAATAAAGACTTTTCAGTCAGGATTTCTGCCACTGAACTACAGCTAATATTTAGAAATGCCATTAAAACTGAATGGCGGTGCATTGCTGGACTTTTTTATTGCAATCATTGACTAGTTCACCAAAAAAAATTAATTTACGCAACATATATGCACACTGGGATTCAAGTTGGTTCAGTGGGTAGCACCATCGCCTCACAGCAAGAAGGTTGCAGGTTCAAGCCTCGGCTGGGTCAGTTGGCATTTTTTTGTGGAGTTTGCATGTTCACCCCGTGTTCGCGATGGTTTCCTTCAGGTGCTCCGGTTTCCCCCACAATCCAAAGACATGTGGTATAGGTGAATTGGGTAAGCTAAATTGTCCATTGTGTATGTGCAACACAATCTCACGTCAATTCGTAACTTTTTGATTAAGTGGCTAAATCGGATGAATTCAAACAAAATCGTACAATTTAGTAAGATTTGCTCATCACCCAATGACGGTTGGGGTTAGGGGTGGGGTTGGGTGCCAGGCCTCCTTTTTAAAATTGTACATTTTTGTATGACTGAATTAGCCACTAAACTGTCAAAACGTAAAATACTTACATTTCCTCGTGAGATCAGGCTCGTATGTGTGGGAGTGCATGGATGTTTCCCAGTGATGAGTTGCAGCTGGAAGGGCATCTGCTGCTTAAAAACATATACTGAATAAGTTTGTTGGTTCATTTTGTTGTGGCGACCCTAAATTAATAAAAGGACTAAGCTAAAAATAAATGAATGAATATACTCGCGCTCAAGTGGTTCCAAACAGACTTACTTCTGTTGAACACAAACGAAGATATTTTGAAGAAAGCTGAAAGCTGGTAGTCATTGGCAACCATAGTATAAAAAGACGAAATTGTGGAAGGGCCCCATTAGGGTAATGTTGAAAATTGTTTCTTAATCTATTTAATATGTATTTTTTCATTAAAATTTTCAGTTTTGACACTTTCATTTTGGACAAACAATATGCAGTGGTAAAAACAATAAGCACATTTGCTAAAAACAAACAAAGAAAGCTGGAATAATGCATTTGTTTTTCATTATCTTTTTAATCGTTCATTATAAAAATTATAAAACTAAGATTTTAAATGAAAAACTAAATCAAATGAAAATAACTTAAGATTCATTCATTAATTTTCCTTTGGCATTTTGGAAGTACCACACACCAGAAGCACACATTCACATATTATTTAAGCGGTCGTACACCGGATGCGACACATGAAATTTGAAAGTACTACAAGCCAGATGCGCACATTTGCATGTTATTTAAAATGAAACTATTCAGATAATGCTTTGTGGCACGGCAGAAAAATGAACAATGTTCTGAGTTGTAGCTGGGCGCTGTGGATAATCGCCAACTTGCTTCACCGGTTACCCGGTTACCTTGCTTCACTTGCTTTACCCTGATAGAATTCTATGTATAGAATTCTAAAATGAATGGCGCGGTGTGGCGCCAAGCAGCGTATCTGGTGTGCGATCCCCTTTAGTCTCTATTTCAGAGGTCGCTACAGTAGAATGAACCGCCAACTATACCAGCATATGCTTTACGCGGACGCCTCTCCAGCCGCCTGCAACCCAGTATTGGGAAATATGTATATACACTCATTCACACACACTTACACTACACACATTTTGGTTTATTTAATTCACCTATAGCACATATTTGGACTGTAGGGGAAGCCGGAGCACATGGAGGAAACCCTCACAAAGACGGGCAGAACATCAAAACTCCACACAGAAATACCAACTGGTCCAGTCAGGACTCAAACCAGCGACATTCTTGCTGTGACGGTGCTAACCAGTGAGCCACCATGACGCCAACAACTAAGATCTCATTATGAAATCTATTGAAATCTATTGAATACATTATTCAATTTGTTGGTCAAAAAATCTTTTTTTCATTATATGCTTCAGCATCTTTGGTCTTGGTCATATTTGTTATGTTTGTCTTTGTTTTCTATAGGATTTTATTGTAATTGTTTTTTGTTTGTTTGTGTTAGTGACAAATATTGTTTAATGGATAAAAAGCAAGTGCTAATTTGTTTACTGATTATTGGAAATTTTGGGGGGGCAATAATAATTTTCCTTATAGAAAACTGCAATCTGTCTCTTTAGCTGTATGGAGAATATCGGGAGCAGCTGGGTAATATTTCCAGACGGGAGGCCACGCGTCTGTTGACTGAAAAGCAATGGAAAAGGCATGCAGACAATTCCAAGGCAACCAGGAGAGGCCATGGCAGGGCACATCATGCCAGCTTGGATGTGGGGCCACTGACACCAGGCTTAAGCCCCTCCTCTTCTTTGATAAAGTCACACCCCTATTTCAAATGCCAGGGTAAGTGACCAAAGGAAACTCATTTTGTCACCTTTATATTATGTGTATACATATAAAGTGATAAATTATGATAAAACGCAGTATTCAGTGTCAGTTGCCATTTTATTGTGTTACAGACTGCCTAGCCCGTGTCCAGAGGTATATTGTGACAAAGCTTGGGGAGGACTGGATATTCCTGGTTCTTTTGGGCCTCACTATGGCTTTGGTTAGCTGGAGCATGGATTATGCCAGTGCCAAGAGCATACAAGGTATAAACAGTTGGTTTGCATTAATAAGATGTAGCTGTACTGTTTACCTATTTGTTTACATTTATAAAGATAGTTCACCCAAAATGTTAATTTGCTGTTTATTTACTCATGTTTCCTCCATCTATGATATGGATTACTTTTTCATCAATAGAATTATATAAAAGTTATTTTTAAGCTGTGTTTTTTGGTGATTCATACATCTAATGCAAGTCAATAGCTACATCCCTTTAAGATGGAAAAATTGATATTTAGGAACACAAATTTAATACACATGGCTATGTCCACCATGAGTTTACATCTTAAGATGCATAGCATATGGTCTGTGCAAGAAACTAAATATTATTTCAACATTATAGTTTTCAATTCATAGCCTTAGAGAATGGGAAAGTATGGGTGAGGAGTGTCTACATCAGTGATGTCGACTCCTGTTCCTGGAGCTCTACATTTTCTCAGTGTTAACTGCAACATTGATCAAACGCACATGTCTTTAATTTCCAAGTGCTCCTTCAGATTCTGCTTAGTTGATGAGAGTTAGACTGAACTCTGCAGAATGTTACACCTCCTGGAACAGGGTTGAGAACCCTGGATCAACATTCTAAAACACCATTATAAAACAAGAATAGTCAGAGAGCAATTGTGAACTTTCCCATCCTCCAAATAGGTTTTGTTTCAATTACTAAAACAAAACATCAGCATTTTCAAACCCAAACTGGGTCTTCAGCATTCCATTTTTGTGGGTCAAAGAAGCCAGATTTGTGTTTGTGCAACCAATTCAGACAATTGTGATTTATGGTGCCTGTTGGATAGCAGATAGAGTCTTGCCTCCGAAATTGAGGTTCTTCCAGTCACTGACTGGATGCTGAAAGCTGCTGCTGGGTTTTACCATGGGTTATGTCATTTGCTGGATTGTTTTCAGACTTTAAGTTAGCAGATAGAGTCTTGCCACCAAAATTGAGGTTCTTCCAGTCACTGACTGGATGCTGAAAGCTGCTGCAGGGTTTTACCATGGGTTATGTCATTTGCTGGATTGTTTTCAGACTTTAAGTTATAGTCACCTCCTGAATCTCTATGAAGTACCCACAAACACTTTATATCTGCATTTAAAGTTGGATTTGATCCAGCACAAGACTGTCTTTTAATCACTCCATAAAGAAACCTTTTGAATGTTCAGTGTCAGTTCCAGCATGCTTTTAATGTTGCTCATGATGACAACAGAATGCTCTCTAAAGTGAAGCAATACTCCTGACAAGGTTGAAGTAAGAGTAGGCCCAGGCAGCAGGTACTGCAGAGGTTATGGCCTTGATGTGGAGAGGAACAATTGTACACTACCCTATGCTTGCCATTATGGTGTACTATATGGTGGGGCATGTACCAGGATTCATGCTTTTGCTCAATTGCTTTAGGAGACAGCTTGATAACATAAGCACATAAGTTCTATGAATCTGAGTCATTCATAATACACACACTTATAATTAATTTACTGTCTCTCTCCTTCTCTCCCTGTATTTTCTCTACTCTTCTCGTGATGAAGACTTGATTATAAACCTAAAAGTATCCGAAATCACACACACTATACCTCTTCTCTCCCGTCTCTCTCCTCTTCTGGGCCTTTCTCTCTCTCTCCCTCTCTCTCTCTCCTTTTCTGTCTGTCTCTCACACGATGAATCTAGTCTGCGCTGCGCTGCCGTTAGCCTCCTCCGCCTGGTTAATGCTAGCTTCTCATTATTTAAAGTTACCATAACGTCTTCTTCTGTACCCTCATTCTCCTGATCATGGGTCTGTTTAAAGATGGTGTGTATGGAAAATGCCTCAATAAAGATGCCTCCTCTCCTCTTTCTCTCGCGTTTGCTAAATCCACTTGTCCACTCATTTTTGATCTATGACAGATATAACGTTACACTACAGTCCGCTCAGTTTAGTGCGGGTTATTTCAAAACTGACGTTTCCGCGCTTGACCAATTACAGCATTCTGTTTAGTTAAGGAAAAAAAGGCAGTTTAAATATAATGCTAATATTAATATGTGATCGCGATTTTTTTTGCTCGGAGGAAATAACGTTACAGTTGTCTGAGCAATATAGTTTTTGCAGAGAGGGAGGCACCTATAATAAGGCTAAACATTATTAAATACCCACGAGACACTTGTGACTTTATATCATATTTGCATTATTTTAAAAAAATGTTTCCTTCCTGTTAAAAATAAATATATTTCCAATCTGATATGTAATGGGGAGAAAAAAAGTAACACGAGTTCAGCTGATGGTGGATTCGAACCGAGTTTATGATCCTGTGCGCCTTACTTAGGTGCGCCACTGCAGCTGCAATGAATGGAAGCTCTTTACTCATCTTGTCTCTATCAATCAGGCATCTATGGGCGTAAACCCTGAATAGCTTATTACAACTAGATGCGCTATTTGCAATTAGCCAAAAAAGACACTCCGAAATGGTATTTTTTTTCTCCCCCCTCACAGGGGCCCCTAGTGCGCACGGGCCCCTGGGCCTGTGCCCATAAGGCCCATTGGTTAATCCGGCCCTGGCTCCAGCCTTTCAACTTCTTGGTTATATATCTTTGTCAGTTCTGAACTCTTGCTGAGATGCCTCTCTAGTGGTCTGAAGTGGGGAAGAACAAACTCTTTAGACATTTTTAATTGAGCCATATCTGGTTTTCTAAAGAGAGGGGTGGTATATTGAAGCATTCCATTTACTTAAACCTTTTTTTGTCTTAGTTTAAAGAAGGGTTATAGTTCCTAACCTAAATGTGAGCGAGTCACCACTTTTTCACTGTGTATGTCAGCACATCAAGCTGCTAGAGTCTTTCCACATTTTGCAACAGCTCTTCTGTGGCTGGGGTCAGGGCCTTCTTGTTCTGGGATCTGATGATGGACTATGTTAGCTGTCCCTGCCTAGTTTGGTTCTAATATCAGCTGGCCCACTGCTTGGACCGTAGCATAGGGGTGATCAATTTGTGATGATCAGAGTCTATTAGCAGCACCTGCTGAGCACTTAAAAATACATGAAGAGGCTGTCCTTTGAGATGGTTGTATTTTATTTGTAAAAGGGCAACTACATGTGAATGCTTAGCCAGACCCAAATTTGCTGTAGTAAAGGCACCCTTTATTTTGAATCTTTTTTTCTGGTTGACATGCAGGGCAAAGAGTGAAAGATACTTTTAAATCATGAATAACTTGGGTGTCATGTTGTACTGTCTTCAAAGATAGCTTCTCTTCCTGTCCATTAAGCTTAAGTTGCTTTGCTGCCTCATGAAGCAAGATGGTATGTTCAAACCCATTGTCCAGAATTGCATAAAACACTGAAGCATTTTAAAGTTGCGACGATCAGTTAATTTATAATTTTAATTCAATTCATCTTTATTTATTAAGCGCTTTTACAATGAAGATTGTGTCAAAGCAGCTTCACATAGAACATTATAGTAAATTAAACTGTGTCAATGCAATTTTCAGTGTTGTGATTCAGTTTAGTTTGGTTAAGTGTGGTTCAATATTCCTTGCTGACAGTTCAAACACTGATGAGCAAATCGCAAACGGCGAGAAAAAAACTTCACCGATTGGCGAAAGTGAAGAATTAAAAAACCTTTAGAGAAACCAGGCTCAGTTGGGCACCACCATTTCTCCTATGGCCAAACGTCTTGTGCAGAGCTGCAGTCTAAGAGCCTGAGGCTGGAGAATGCTAAACGTCCATTTCGGAGAAGCTGCAGGTGGGAGGTCACCGGCTGGTGTACAGGCTGTCCCTTCAGGATCAATGCGAGGACTTGTCTATAACAGGGGTCTTACAGAAATTAGTCTCATGCTCTCCACTCTTCCATGATCACCACAGCAGCTGCTCAGGATACGGCCTGGCCCAGGATTATGGAAGCCTCTGGAATAATAAAAAAAGGCTAACATTACGCGGTTGCCATGAATAATGCAGACTAACAATTCTTTAGAGGATTTGGATTTCAACAGCATTTCTGTTTTATGTGTATGCTAATGCAAAGAGATGTGTCTTTACTAGGGATGGGAAGATTAATCGATATGTATCGATACGCGGTCATGCGCGTGCACGATGTAAGTGCATCGGTAGAGCAGCAGAGGATGAATGAAATTTTGGAAGCAAATCGAGATGCATCGGTTTTTGCGAGATGCATCGGTTTTTCCAAGATACAGCTTATATTTTTAATATAGAATGTATTTTTTATTTATTAACAAGTGTTGTCAACCTGTTTTTGGCGCATAATTTAATCGACCTACATAAAGTAAGCCTTAGCAACGGATTTGCGGATGTGTACACTTACACTACAACTCAGTGTATCAGGTGTGCGGATGAAGCTAGTGGTGCGCCCTCAGAAAGCGCGAGAAGCAAAACAAACATTTTATTCCTCACTGAGTTTTAATCTAAAGTATGGCAACAATATGGATTTAAGGATGGACGACATGACAGGACAGATGCAATTTGCAAAATGTGCCGCGCATCTGTAAAATACATGGGCAGTACGACTAATCTGATATCTCACTTGAAGCGGCGCCACGGTGTTGTTGTGAAAGCATCTTCCAGTGTTTCTGCATCCCCGGCTTTCGCACTGCTTCAGCTACCAGCTCCAAAAGTGGTGAGAAAAGCATTGCAAGTTTTTTTTCCATTCGCAACAGTTTTGTGCGCTCTATGCCCATAACGGATGTTCATCTGCAGGGCCGGAGCAAGCTGAACTGCCGCTCTAGGCAGAGGACGATCACGCCGCCCTCAACCCCAATGTGAAAACGAAAGTGACCGGTTATGAAAATGAAGTGACGTGTCGCGGACCTCTATTCTGCCGCCCTATGCGCGGATATAACTGAGGACGCGCGGGTGTCGCGGACCTCTATTCTGCCGCCCTATGCGCGGATATAACCGAGGACGCGGGTGTCGCGGACCTCTATTCTGCCCCCCTATGCGCAGATATAACTGAGGACAAGCGGGCGCTGATGGAGGTGTCGCGGACATAACTGAGGATGCGGGTGGTAAGGGGGGT